CGGCCCATTCCACTGCTTCGGCCAGCTTATCCCAAAAAACTGCCGAGCTACATCTCACGTCCGGGAAGTGTTGCGCATCCTCTCGCTCCAATTCGTCCTCCTCCGGGGTTCGGGAAACACTTTCCCCTTCTTCACTGTGCTCGGTACAATCCGACATAGCTGTTTCAAACGTTACCAACGACGTTTGGCTGCGCTTGGTCTTAACGCGTTGTAACTACACCTGAAGGGTGCGCTTTTCACACCTCTACACTTTTAGCTTCAGAGCTTTATGTGCTTTAGCACTTACTCGCTCTTCAGCCTACGCGCGACTAGGAATCTTAACTGATTCTCAGTTGCTCCTCTACGCACTTACAATCCGATATCTCTCGACTATGTCGGATCGGCTCAGCCCCCACGTAACGTTCGGGCGGAGGAAGAGCTGGAGCCGGGACCTGCCTGGCGGGGAATTGCAATACTAAGCAGCTAGACTCACCTCTTTATTAATACAATCACACGAAAGAAAAAAACAATTATTCTGCCGCCGCGCTTCCAAATCAGGCGAAGACAAACAGTTACACTAACTATTTCATTTTCAATCATCACATTACCACGGAGGGGGAACTCGAGCCAAGAGATGGAGCATTTACATATTGGAAACCGAAGGGCAACTAGACAAGGCGAAGGGGTTGAGCCTCCAACTTCGCTTCCTTGTTGCTCGCTCCTTCCTTTTGCAACACAGTCGATCTCAGTGTTTTTTTTTAGAACAGGTGTCTGCACGAGCTTTTATAAAAATTTAAGTGCATTGAAGAATAGGCTAAGGACATCTTATGTTCAGCATATCTTTTACCCAACTGTAATTAGTGATTAAATATTGCTGTTTAAGTCCTGCCTACTGTCTTTCTGTGTTTTTTTTTTCATTTTTTATTGCGAAAGAAACACTGGAAGCTTTAATGCTTTTTTAAATTTCTCTTACCTGAAAAATATCTTTTCATAAAAATTTTCTAAGAGCAGCTGGTTTTCCTGAATTGGAGGAAAGATTTCATGTTTTTGGAAGAACAGATTTTGTGTTGATCGGAAAAAAAAATTCAGGATGGTGTGCTGTAGAGTTTCGACCTTTCGTACTGGACGAAAAACGACATCCACATGTCCCTTTTCCGTATCGTATCTGTTTGGAAAATATGGAAGCTGGACAATGGTTTGCATTTCAGTCCATACTTTCACACACAGTTTTCGCTTTTTGGAATTATTTTTTAATGGAATAATGACTGTATGTAATTTAAATGATGGCGTCTGAAGGAGTGGCTGTTTCGCAGAGTTTATCACAAAATGAAATTTGTTGTAGGCCTTTCCTCTTCGGTGGCAAGATTAAAAGTTTAATCATTTTGAGAATTGTAATTCTTTCAGTCTTATTTTTTTTCAGCAGTCTAAGTTTTTTTGTCGAAAAGAATCGAAATGATTATAGATGGTTACAAAAAGTGGTATTTCCTCGCTTCTTAAGGTAAATTGACGCTTCTAAAGTTTCTTTTGCAAGCTAAAAAAAAATCAAAAACATTGTTCGGCCGAACTGTTATCGGCTGTTTAAGAGTCCTAAAATGCTGATAACTCATTTCTTAGTGAACATCATCTTTTAAAGGATAAAATGTTTTATCCTGGAACTTTTTTCTTTGAGCATCAAAATGTCCTAATAGTTCTTATTTTTCGTCTTTCTTTCTATTATTGCGCCTGGAATTGCTTCTAGTTTGCTCGGTTTCGAAGACTTTGCATCAATGCAACTTCATTTAGGCGTTTTGATGGATTTTCCGATTTCTTTGATTTTCCTAGCGCATGACCAGTTTTGCAAATCTTTTCATCCACATTAGCAAGTTTTCAAGGAAGTAAATTTGATTGGCTTCATCGAAAACCCAAAGAATTATAAAAGTTGGTTCAAGAAAATAATATTCTCGATCATTTAAGCATTGCAACTGCTTCATTGATCAATAAATATCATGAAGCAAAGCCGTAGGCACCAGGATGGAAGTTTGATTAAAATGAGTCAAGATTTTCTGGCCCATAAAATCGTTAATGGTTTTTTTTTTTAAAATGTATTTGCGATTTTTTCATAATTTTGTAGATGGTTCAGTAAAATGGAGGAGCATCACAACGCTACCTCGTCACATAAACTAATCGATCCAGAAACCTATGCATCATTATATCAAGAAATAAAACAGCGGTGGGGTCAGCAGATTGTCGCAGTATGTTCACGTTCTCGTTTTTTATTAAGATGAAATTAAGAATTTTATTCCCGGCCCATATCTTCTGGTGGATTTTTTCGTTTGAAATATTAACTTTGCTGCATTTTCGACTGTAATCTACTGTCAGTAGCGTGAACTTAGCGTCATTTGCCCAGCCAGCTTTGATAGTGATTCCTGCTGTTAGTGACAACTTTGGCTTAGAATAACATGCATCAGTCGTATTACTGTGACGTCCAGATTACCAGTAACGTTGCTTGATTACTTCGTTGCTAAACGTATTTGAATTTTTACAGAATTGGACGGAACGGACAGATCCACAGAAATTCGTGTATGAGGATTGCGCCATTGCATCTTATCTGCTAGTAGGTAACAATTCCAGTAGTGAAACAAAATGCCAGTAATTCCTAACTTTAAAATTTTTTTCTGTCAAATAATTCTTTTTAAATTCTTATAATTGTTTTTTTATTGAAAGCAATTATAAGAATTTAAAAAGAATTATTATTTTTTCTTTATTTTTCTTTTTCATAATTTTTTTATAATTTTTATAATTCATTGTTTTCATAAATTTTCATCCATTCATAAATTCATCAAATCTGTCAAATAAAAATAAAATAATTCTTTTTCTGTCAAAGAATTGCTTTCGCGACATTTTTATTTCTTTTCGTTTTTGAAAAAGTTTTCTTTCAAAAAGCAGCAGCAGTTAGAGAGGTTCTCACGTACTGATGTATTTTCAGTCGTTTTGGCGGAAGAACGATCTTTTGCCGCTCCGTTTTTGCGATATTGGTTGTGGCAATGGTTTGCTTGTGCATCTTCTGAAACAGAATGGCGTAAGTGAAGTTTATATTTTGGTGGCAAACACATAGTACTAAGCAGGACACGATTTTCGCTTTGCTGCCAGTCGCTGGATACCTTCAGTGCCTTTACATGTGTTACTCGCAGGAAGGAAAAACGGCCAGTTGCAGACTTTGATGTGGTATTGAACAATCGATGTGAAAAGGAGTTAGTACCAATAGACTCCAAAGCGGAAGGTCGGACATAGCTGTAGTTGGAAGACCGCAACAGGATGATTTAGCATCGGCGTGTATCACGCCGCAGTAACACGGTGTCCCCCGGCGCCGGAAGCTGAACAAACTTTCTGACATTTGTAAGTCTCAGTAGGTTGCCGAGAAATTTACGTATGGTTCTTATGCTAGTGATGTCATTTGAATGGACCAACGTTGTGCCCTGGCCCCTCTGCCCTCAGTTGTGCTTCTCTATCTGTTACCCGCCGCCTCTCAATGCATATGTTCATCTTCTTTGAAATCTGTCTGTCTGAACATTCAGTTTTTTGCAGATTTCACTACAGCATTCAATTTTTTTTGCAGATTTATTCGTGCATCCAGTGAAAAACGTCAGATAGTGGACCGAGATAAGTTTCGTTGTTTTGTTGCTGTTTCATAAAACGATTTTTTCATTGTAGGTGACTGGTTATGGTATTGATTTAAGAAAGCGACGAATTTGGGCAAATTTTGTTGAAACCGATTTGAGGGAACGAGCACTGAATCCGGAAAATGACATAATAGAGAATGCTGACTTTCTTATTGGGAATCATACCGATGAGCTTACGCCCTGGATACCAATTATGGCTGCCAGGTTGAATAGCTCCATGCTTCTTCTTTTGTATACACACAGCTGATTGACGGCTTAATTCATTTTTGTGCGTTTTTCCATACTTATGCAGCTGGAATAACGTATATTGGCAGAAAGTTATCGGTGTGCGTTTGTGTATGTGTGTTTATATATATGTGTGTTTATATATGTGTGTGTTTGTGTGTGTTTGTATATGTGTGTTTGTGTAGGTGTGTCTGTTTGTATATATGTGTTCGAATTTTTGTCGTTCAACTCAGCCATAGCAGAAGCCAGGAAGCAAAAAATTCACAGAGATTCTCAGTCCAGGCGCCATCGGAACTTAAGATCAACGTCCATATACTTGTGTGTCTCATGCACGGACGCCTAAAAGAATTCATGCAAATATTTTGGCAAGAACGCGATTTTGCGAACCAGGGAAGACAGGGAACTGAATTTTCGCATGGACGTTCTATGTCCTTTTGTGTGTTAAAATTTCCAAATTCAGCTTCAACTGATGTCTACATCACCTTTACGGACATAACAGACTTGAAGTTTCTTCATCATTGGTAAAGTGACAATTTGGGAAATAAGAGAATTGGAACGCTGTCACTTTACGAGAATATTTGTTTTCCGTATATGGACAAGCAAGCATAAAATGAGCTTTAGCTTATGCCTGCGTCGCGCGTTCGGGCACTCCAAAGATTTGTAACGAAAAGCGATTTCGCCAGTTAAGAAGCTGAAATTTTATGAGAATGCCAGTATGCGGCTTAAATATGTCAAATTCGGCTTTAAAGCATGCCATGAAATCACAAAATGATCAGCCTGCTGCCCATGATCCTGGAATTTACAAAAGATGTTCCTTCATCCGTTTATCACGCAGATGAAACCGTAATGTTCTTTTAAGGAACTTTTG